AAAAAAAGTATTTCTAACTAGCTAGCAGCTGAGTGATGTTTATACACAATGCAACAAGATAATATTATATACTCCCTATGTATTTTAATGTATGACGCTGTTGAATTTTTAAACAACGTTTAACCATTTGTCTTATTCCAAATTTTTGTACAAATATAAAAATATTTATGTCATGCTTAAAGAGCATTTAATGATAAATCAGGTTATAATAAAATAAATGATAATTACATAATTTTTAAATAAAATAAATAATTAAACGATAAAAAAAGTCAATGATGTCATACATTAAAGAAAGAAAGTATGTTTTAGGACAGAGGACGTACGCACCCTGTATATATTACGGCGTGGGTGAAGTAGGTGGTTCCACCAACCGTGGAAAACTTGTCGTATTTAGCACCAATGGCGTGCTTTTTGCTGGTCTGGACGAAAGAACACTCAAGGTTGAAGCACTTTAATTTCACGCCACCATCGTTCTGCATATATAGTATATCCCATGCATCAATTACACCAGTGAGTAGCTATAGAGCACTGTAGACTGTGCTGTACATACCAGCTGACATCACCAACTTTAACTAGCATGCACCTAATTAATTTGTGTCATCTTCTTAAAGAAAAAAAAATGAGTTTTAAGAAAATTAGCTAGCTGTTTTAAATCTAGCTAGTGCTCTATCTAACTATCTTACCACTATATATGCAGGTAAGAGGAGTAGAGGACTCCTACTGATCCTGAAAGTTGATTATCCATCATGTGCAATATTGAATAAAAGAATTATGTGATCCTTCTATTAATACATCACAGGAAAGTAGTAGTAGTAGTAGTAGTAGTAGTAATAATAATAATAATAATAATAATAATAATAATAATAATAATAATAATAATAATAATAATAATAATAATAATAATTATCGTACTAAGAATTAGGAGATTCATAGGGGCCTACATGTCAAGAAACAACTGAATATTTATTTTTGGTATTTAATTCAAACATTCAATTTTCTGTGAAATATATTCAAATTAAATAAAAGTGACCAAATAATTTTTGTACTTCTAATGAAAACAGTATGTATGCAATTCGTTACAAGGTACTCCCTCTGTTTCACAATGTAAGTTATTCTAACATTTCCCACATTCATATTGATGTTAATGAATCTAGATTCATCAACATCAATATAATCTAGATTCATTAACATCAATATGAATGTGGAAAATGCTAGAATGACTTATATTGTGGAACGGAGGAAGTAGGAGAGACACTTTACAGTGGAGTATATGTAGAGCCGAGGAAGATCGTCACCAACAAATTGAGGGTAAACCTGCATACAAATTAATGTAACATACGTTGGTATATACGTGACACATATGGTATACATACATATAAAAGTGATAACTGGCCGGTAACATACACATACTCCCTCCGTCCCAAAAAAAACCCAATCCTGGGTTTGAATCTGGACATACGGATTGGGTTTTTTTTCGGACGGAGGGAGTACAAAAATAAATATATAGAAATGGTAACTGGCATGTACGGCGATTTCGAGAGCAATTTGGTTGTCAATGTTGGGTGGATCTTTGCTTGGGATTGGCGTAAATTCCCTGACTGTTGGACTGGCGATGGCGAGGTAGCTCTTGGAGAATTTAGAGGGTCCCACCCCAACTTTCCATATAGGAAGCCACGCCGATGCACCGTGATATGGCCCATTCACTCCATATGCCGCTGCAATCTGCGCACACATCATACTAAATCCATCACCATATGTTTAATTTGACGATTAAACTAATGTAATCACTAGTGCTATACTCCTTTCGTAAAAAAGAAAAATCAACCTAGAAGAAGATTTGATCTTTCCTAATACAATAAATCTGGACTACCTTTATCCAAATTCATGATCCTAGAAGGGGTCGGATTGAGTTTTTTTTTTCTAATGGAGGGAGTATAGTAGTATTATTACTTACTTCTAGATTACTTCTAGAAGGGGTCCGCCCCTTCCCCGTCGGGATTCGTCGCCGGAATTCGCATCCCCTCGCGCTCCGGTGAGTTCTACCTCTACCGCCGCCTTCGGCCATGGATGCCGGCCGCCGTGGTTCATCTCCCTCTCTCTAATCTCTCTCTCCTCCTTCCTTAGGGCACCCCGAAGCCCGTCCGCCAGTTGCCGTCGTCCTCCCGTGGCTCGCCGTCGCCGTTCGCCGTCGTCTTCCTCCGCACCGACCACCCTCGGTGAGGCGTCCTCTCCCCTTTACTCCCCTCCCTCTCCCTCCTAGTGCCGCGCCGCCGCTTCAAGTCATGCGCCGTCGCCTTCGGCCGCCGCCGCCGCCTCCCGTGCCGCCGGTCGCCGTCGCCGTCGGCCGCGTGTCGTCGCCGCTAGCCTTGGCCGTCCGGCCGGCTTTGATGCCGAGCCGAGCCCGGCGGCCACCTCTATCGCCACCGCCCGATCGGCTCGGGGCCGATCTGGGCCGTCAGTCCCGTGGACCGGCGGTGGATCACCCGCGTGGTCCCGGTCCACGGTGGACCGACAGCCTTGGGCCGCTGACCCGGGGGCCCCACTTGCCGGCGCCCCTCTCCCCCCTTTGAGCCGCTGACCAGTGGGCCCCGCCCGTCGGCGCCACCCCCCCTTGATGACGTCAGCCCTAGAAATTATTGCGCAATAAATTATTTAAGGACTTTTTGTTATAGTAATAAACACAGTGAATCTTCTAAAATTCATAACTAATTCATCCGAGCTCCGTTTAAGCCCATTCAAGTCTCAGTAAATCAAGAAAAATGTGTAGAATCCATTAAAAATGGTTTTGTTCTCTGTTTCAGTAGTATTATAGCCTGTTTGCATTGTTTGCTTTGTATGTCGCTTAGATTCCGGTTCTTCCGACGCTCCGGTGTACTTCGAAATAGTCGCCGAGGTTCCTCCAGCAGCAGAGCAAGGCAAGTCATGCTTGTCACTTGAACATGTTGATCCTATATTGCAAATGCTCTACTTTTTTTCTTCAAATACTGCATCGTTTTATAATGTTATTATGGGATGTTTACCTATTGTTACAGCTATGCTATTTTGGTACCTTGCTCCTTTGTTAGCTTGGGTTATAACATGAATAGACGTTGGACTAGGAGTTGCTTAGCCATGCTTAGTTCAACTAGTACACAATGGGGAAAATCCTATTAATGTTTAGACTGTTGGTTCTAATGGTATTGTTGGATTAGTGCCACCGCTTTGGTGTTGGTTAATTAAAATAAATCACATGGTGGGCTGTGGGTGCATGGTTTTGCTGGTCGCACCCATGGCAGTTAAGGACCGGTTCGCGGGATGCCCTGGAAGAACTTATCGTACTTACCACAAGCCAGCGTGGGCAACGGCTGGGCTTGTAGTGTAGCTTTCCTCTAGCTGACGCATCCAGGCAAGGGTGGGCGTGATGGAGCGGGGCGGGCCCTGCGACGGCCTCTGTCGCTTCCGGATTCACCTAGGCACGAGAGGGGACTGCCCGCTGCCTTGCGAGGAGTGGGGGTGAAACCTGAGGTGTGGTGTGCTTGGTTAGAGGGGGTTATGCGAAGGGTCCTGTCACGGCCTCTTTTCGGTATGTCGTGGTGGCATGTCGGCGCACGGAAACGTGTCGTGGGGCTGTGTCTTGTGGGTACAGTTGTACACCTCTGATCAGAGTAAAACTATTCGAATAGCCATGCCCACGGTTATGGGTGGTCAACCAGATTCACCGTGATTAGTCTCACCCTAGTTTAGTCTATTGAAATTGGATAGTATAGGTGGATGGTTGGGCCTGTCGCACCATGGTATAGCGTTGGACAGTGGATGATTAATATTGATTAATTATTACGACTGTTTTCTTCTTTAAACTTCTGTTTATAAATGCTCGCTTTATGCAAATGAACCACTCTAGCTCTCCTTTGATAATTCCCTGCATCATACCCCTATTCCGGTATGACTTGCTGAGTACAGTGGGTAGTACTCAGTCTTGCTCTATTTTTCCCAACCCCAGAGTACGAGTATGTGTCAGATGGAGGTTTCTCCGAGGAGTAGGCTTTGTCCGTGCCGTCGAGGATGCCTGTGGAGTGGTGTTCCCGCTGCAGTTCTAGTCAAGGCTTAGCTCCTGTTGTCTTTCGTTTTTCCGCTGCATTTATGTAAGACTTTTATGATGTTTGTAAGACGTGGATCTGAATGTCAACATTGTTGTTTATGTACCCCGGCCGGTCCTGGACAGGGATTTTAATGCACATTCTGCTTAGAATTCTATTCGGGAATTTCTGGGCGTGACACGTTGCCACTAATCCGCCTGGCCTCCACGCTGGCCTTCTCCACCGTCGCCGCCATCACCGGATCGTGACGATGGTGCCGCGCCTCTCCGCCACCGTTCCGGCCCCTCACACCACCACCTCCGCTCCAGCGCGCACACCCCCGCCCGTCGCCGCCATCGCCACGCCCGACCCCTCTCTTCCTCTCGCATGCAACGCCGGCCCCCAGGAAGGAGAGGGAGAGGGGGGCGCCACCGTCGCCGCCACCACTCCACCCGGCCTTCGCGCTGGTCTTCTCCACCGCCGCCGCTATCACTGGATCTTGATGAGAAGAGAAGGAGGGACGGCCGCAGTCCACTGCTACCGACGCGCACGCGCCCCCCAGCGCCGCCCAAGCAGTCGCCCCATCGGTCAATGAAAAAAAGAGCCCACATGTCGGTCCTAATCTGACTCAGCTCACGATGGCCCACTGTCAGCTATCTATTTCTCACCATACTCAGTTGAGTCAGTAGTGTTGACAACGGTCAAGGTGCCACGTCATCGGATACCGCCCACAATACTGCCTTAGGAGTCAATTTGTACCGGTTTTACTAATTGGGGGAGTCGTCTTACCCGGTTTTCTAGTTAAGGGTCACGAATTAGATTCGGTGAACAATTAAGGGAATCGAGGTGGACTTTTTCCTATTTTTGGCCCAGAACTCCAATTCCATCACATACAATATCGGCCCAGTATGCTTGTGGGCTTCCGGCCCAAGTCGCCTTGGGCTGTAGCCTGCGGGCACTCAGGTCTCTGGGGGAGTCAAGGGTTTAACCCGCCGTCCTGCGACGCGGAGCACCGGCCGCCGCTCGCCGACGCAAGACAACGACGATGCCCAGCTTCCCTCCGCCCGGCGCCGTCACCATCTGCGAGATCAACCGCGACCTAGGTGTGCTATCTCCACTCCCTGCTCCCCCTCTCTCTGCTGTCTCCAAGCTCATTCCAAGTCTGTTTGTTGCAGTTGCGGCGGATGCGGTGTCCGACGATGGAGCCAAGGATGCCTACGGGGATGTCCTCGTCAGTACACTCCCATCTTCCCCCTTCCTCCTCCGCCTCGCATAATTTCGTCTTTCTTTTTTCATTCACAAGACTAATTTTATTATTAGGCCTCTAATTGAAACTTCAATTTGGGGTTTCCAGGGAAATGGTCTTCAGCCCGATTCCTTTCCAGTCGGATGCTCTTGTTGCCACCCACGAGCCTCCTGCTATCACTGAAGCTGCTGAGCCTTCTGAGATTGTCCCCAGAACAAGTTTAGCTTCCACCATAGCTGAGTCCTTCAAACAAATGCTCTTCCCTTCGTGCGATGTGAGTTGGTTCTTTATCATATCTTAGTGACTCAATTATTTGCCACTCTTACGAATAATATGTCTTCATTTGCAAACAGAAAAATTATTAAAGAATATTAAAGAATCCTTCAAACAAATATTAAAGAATCCTACATTCTAACAAGTGACCGACAAAACGATGTTAAAGCTGTTGAATGGAGGCCAAATAGTGAAAAGATGATTGCAGTTGGCTGCAAGTACTACTGCCAACTTAAGATGTCTGCATGTTCTTTTCATGTAATAATAATACCTGGTGGCATAATCTGCTGTTACATTGGGTTGATTTTTTTACTTTGAGGGGTGGTCAGCGTCATCCTGGCAATGTTGCATCTGTGAAATCTAGTGTCACCTTTTGGTCAATGGATGCTTGTGGTTGTGGACATTCATCATGGTTCTTCTGATGGAACTGGTAGGAAAGGATTTTATACCTTGTAGATATACAAAATGCATACTTGCTTTAACCAATTATAGACATGTTTTCACTGATATGATAATTTCAGTAAATGAAGTGCAATTACCGAGACATACCCATAAACATAGGGTAATGAAATGAACACTTAAAGGCACACAAGGGACGAAACATAAGTCAGGGATATAGAAGGGATTAAGTGAAAACTTAGTGAAAAAAAACTCTCTTTTAAATATTGGTACCCCTGAAAACAGATAACTGGTTTTTATCAGACAAAATGTCGGTCCGAAATTTTGAATTTCGAAATCACAGTAACCTGCCAGAAATTTGGCATAAGAAAAGGGAAAAAAATTCAAGATCCAACATATATAGCATTATTGAATTCATCACAAATAGAACATAATGATTATGATGCAATAGTCCATAAAGACATGCATCACAGAAGTATACATACAACATATCAATAGTTCCACCACAAGTGTGGCAATTGATATAATTATAGAACTGAATGCGAATATTTCATTTTCCTTTAGAAATATAACAACAAATAACCATGAAAGATAAGAAGTTGGCATACTTCCAAAGTTGAATTTAAATTGTTCTGTTCAGTATGCCAATGTTGGTTCATCGGCTTTGGAGCGGTAACCAATTGCTTACAGCCAGGATTTTTGAACACTGGTTGAATCATGACTGCTCTTTGTGCATATTCAATGCTGCATTATTTAATTTTGTCTTCTAACATACTTGCTCCATTTTTCTGTATCTTCCTCAAAGACTTATATGTTGTGTCTAATTTCCATACCCTCCAAGATAAGTCCTTTCTTCCAGTTGAGCTGGATATGCTCCTTGAGGCGGATAACAACCACTCCAGTGTCTTCTAGGTCGTTGTAGAAGTGCCCTAGTTGTACCTCCAGCCAGCCATCACCTCGTTCTCTTGGGTAGCTTGGCTCCTCTGCTTGTCCTGCTTCTTCGATTCTACCCATGTTAGAAAGTGTCTCTCGTGTGGATGGGCGTGGGCGTGGGCGTGGGCGTGGGTAGAAAGAGATGGTCCGCTTGGCAGACACTACTTGATCGTCCATGGTGATGTCTGCCTCTTGTGTCTGGCAATCAAGGCCGTACGAATCATCTGTCAATTTGAAGACGAGGTAGGCTGCATATTCTGTGTTGGGTGAGAGCTCTCTGCAGTTGACTCTGCCACATAAATCGAGCCAGCAGACCTTTAGAAGCTCAGTTACTTCTTCAAACCTGAAACAGGGAGAAAACTTTGGTTTCTGCTTAAATTGATAAAAAGAAAATCAAATCAAACCGAATACTAGTTATTATTATATTGAATTTAAAGATTATCTGATGGATAATTTCTTTGTAGTTTATTTCTTAATGCTTTTGTATATTCGTCCAGACTACGTACTTCTTTGACAAACATTTCTAAAAGATGTGCATTGCATATGAGGGAATATATCCCATGCACATGCACACAAGTTTCATGTGCACACTCCGTGCATACCAACTAACAAACGTCACTAAAAATCTAGAAAAAAATGTCCATATACTTTAGCCTAGAAAACAAAAACTCTGACAGTTTTAAAACTACGAGTTTATATCATTATTGTCTTTTTTTCTCTATATGTAAAATGAATTTGAAGATGATGCTTTACATGTATGTATAATACTATTGAAAGTATTTCAATATGTACAATTTTTTTATAGAATTTTTAGTAATATTTGTTAGTTGGTGTGCATGATATGTACACGTGAAGGTTTGTGTGCATGAGATATGTTACCTATATATATATATATATACCTATCTTTGCAAAAGGGAAACAAACAAATGAGCTAACGTTAAATTTATCTTGTACATTGCTACAGTAGGTTGGAACGCGTACCTGGAATCGGGTAAGGAGATCCATCTCCATTTCAGGGGATGGTCTTCCCATGCTATCGGTAATGATCTCGATGATAGCAAGTAGCACTTGGCTAGGCTTGTTCTTTCCAACCAAAGACTCTGCGTGCAATGTATAATGAATCGCCTTCATTCAGTTAACATTACGATAACAAAAGTTGGTAATACTATATTGAAGAAATTCATACTAAAGCTTTATGTTATTGCTCCCTCCGTCTCATAGAAAACCAATCTAGTACTAGATGTGACACATCGTAATACTACGAATCTTGACATACCTCTGTCCAGATTCATTGTACTATAATATGTCATATTCAGGCCTAGATTTGTTTTTTTCGGGACGAAGGGAGTACGTGGGAAGCGGGTTTTCATCCTTTAGACTTTGTTCGGTTAATCTCAAGAGAGAGGGATTACAGAGGATTAATCCCATACCTCAATAGGCGTGGAATTATTCTCCAAATTCTCCTTAATCCTTTTGCGGGAGGAATTAATCGAACTAGAACTTAAGGGATATCCTCTTTTGTGCATATCACCATAAAAGTTATAAAAAAAACATGCAATTCAAATTTAACATTTATAGATAGAAAGGGAAATAATAAATTCCACTACGAATAATACACATTATTCACAATCAAATTTGTTATTTTTGTTTGTACTTATATATATTAAATTTGAAATTACATGTCCGTGTAATGACATATTTTATATTGACCTATCATATAATTTTTTTAAAGAAAATTTGATAGCTATTTAGGTAAAACGGAAAAAACAAAGAATGTCCTTTTAAGGGATAGAAATATTTTCCCTATTACGTACCTTGCTGTGTTGGTCGAGGAGGACGTGGTCTTTGACAAGGCTGACGAGGAGCTTCTTCTCGGAAGTGAAATGCACACGATCGTCGGCACGAGCCAGGATGGAGAGGTAGTCCTTCGGCAAGAAGTGCCTCCACACAGAGTCGGAATTAGCCGCTTTTTGGAAGGCCCTGGAGACGGCACAGCAGCGGCACGCGTCCATGGGAGTCGTCAAGGAGATTGCAAGAGCAAGGCAATCCTCTGAGAGCCCTGAGATGTACTCCGCTTTCTTGTTCGTCCTAACGGTGACATTGTCGCCGCCTTTCTCCCTTCCGGATCGCTTCATGGTTGGAGACAAATATCACGAGAACTGTTATGTCTCATCTATATCTTCTTCTGTATGGTTACAATACACTACGGAGTATATCTTAAAATTTAACATGTAAACATGACACATCATTTTCCATTGACAATTATTACATCTTAACACGTACATTCAAATCTATAATTTATTATATTCTAGAGATCAAACATGAAACATATCAAATCATCTTCACATTATTTTCATAATCCTTTAACATATCCATGCAATCTTATATTTATCTCTCTTCATTTAGTGTGATTTGTATTTGTGCTTTTATATTTTTTTCAAATGGAGGAACTTAAATTGAATAGTACTTGATTAATTAGTTCTCCCATTATATTATGTGCTCTAATGTCTGCCGGTTAATTTTTTTTCATGTTACAAATGTTGTCATGTATTTGTTTTCCTATTGGACTGTGTGCATTGTAGATTAGTATATCCTTTGCATTACTTTTACTAATATCAGAAAGTTGAAAAATACATAAGTAAATTTTATAAAACTACAGATATTTTATCAATCTATCACAAAATTACAGATTTAATATCATATTTTACACAAGGCTACAAATTTAAAAATTAACGTATTAGAAAACTACAAGTTAAATATCAGTTTTATAAAAAAAAGAGTATATTTCACAAAAGTACATATACTATGACCAAATTATTAGAAAACTACAGATTTAACTCGATGTATCACAAAACTACACATTTAACACCAAATTGATCACAAAACTACACATTTAAGATGAAGTGTCACAAAACTACATGTTTAGTAACTAAATTATCACAAAACTACAGGTTTAGAACCAATTTGGTCACAAAGCAATAATGTTTATAGCTCCAACATAACAATGGTGTTAGGGATTTAAACTTCAAAATCTGTAGTTTTGTGATAACTTCAATTTAAATGTGCATTTTTATGATACTTAGCCTTAAATCTGTAGTTTGGTGATAAACTAGCAGGGTGGCCCGCGTAATTGCACGGTTAGCACTGTTTAAAATTATCTAAAATTCTTTACACGTGGTTTTTTTTAAAATTTATTAAATAGTTATCTTATTATCTTAGTAATTTTAAAAAAATAAACCTTATTATTATAAGGTTTCTAATTGGGATTGTAAGCATCAAGCTCGATCATCGTTGAGAATTTTTTTTTGAGAGAATCCATTATATACCACTGACTTTGTCACACGTCTACGATTTACCACTGACTTTGTCACATTCTACAATATGCCATCGACATTTGCTTAACTTCTACGATTTACCATCGCCGTCCAGTTAGCCTCCGTTAGCACGGTACATTTTTGTCCAAATGACCAAAATACCCCTAGAACAAAGATTTCCAAAATTTGGATAAAATTATCAAAATATCATATTATGAACATAAGCTTGTAAACATCCAAAATTTGGCCAAAAACTTAAAATCTGACATTTCAGAATTTTTATCCAAATTTTGAAAGTTTTTGTCCCAGGGATATTTTGGTCATTTTGACAAATTTGTACAGTACTAACGGAGACTAACCGGGCGGCGATGGTAAATCGTAGAAGTTAAGCAAAAGTCGATGGCATATTGTAGAACATGATAAAGTCAGTGGCATATAATGGATTATCTCTTTTTTTTTTTTAGTTTCTACAATCCTGTCAACAACTACTACCCTACTCCTTTATGTCATACCTGCCACCTATCTTCTTTATTATTTTTGGATTTTAAAAATCAAACCTAGTTATCGTTGGAGTTGTTTTATAGTTGTTAGATATCCCGTCAACCGCCACTTCTACGGCTAGCCCGTTGCCCATCTTCTTTGTTATTATTAGGATTTTAAAATTTTAACCTGATCATTTGTTATTTTTTAAAAAGTTTGTAAAAGTCTTGCTAGCCGCCATTGCCCATCTCCTTTGCTGACCCTCGAATTGTCCTCTTAATAATACAATAAAATTCATTTTATCTTTCATAGATTGTAGTTTTCTTTCAATATTTCTTGTTTTTATTTCTATTTTCAATTATTTCTAATTGTATTTCTACTTGAATTTTTAATTTTCTTTTTTTAATTTTAAAATTGATTTTATTTTTATTAAAAATTTAAATCTGCGTATAATAATACCATGAACACTGATGAGTAGTGTGTCGCATTTAAATGTAAATATAGTACACACATCTACGCATATTACTTCATCGTGTAGACCTTAGTTGATCTATAGTTGTATTTGCGTTCACAAAGATTAATTAGTACGAAGGGACAACCCTTCCAGAAGCAGGGGACAAATTATGCTTATGTTGAGATTCTTTTTTTTTAAAAAAAAATAAAAGAGTGAACCATAGATGTATATGGACATTCATTTCTTCCTCTTTTATGGTAGCCTTTTCTTTTCCTGCTTGTTACCATGATTAAACACAGAGAGCAATGCATGTGCAAGTACGTGCTTAGCCTAATCGCTCCCGTATTTAATCTCAGATCAACGGCATCCCAGACCTACACATCAAGCCAAGGTTTCACAGCTGCTTAATAGCCTTAATGCTCGAGTAAGTTGTGTCATATTGATTTGTGCATGGGTTTGGTTGTGTGAGGCTGCGTTGATGTAATTTTTTCGCTCGCTTAGCCGTCTAAGGGGCTTCGCTGCTATAAATTTTAATCCATGTAGGATTCTACGCTTTTCTGTTTTAAAGCTACATGCTACCCTGAAACTGTAAAGGACTGCAAAACATGTTCTGCATGCTCACCAATTCGATCCGTGTCCATATAGGATTTCGCTACCTACTGTCATGTCCATGTCCTAGTCATACTCGGTTTTGTTCTATGTGAAATATCTTATTATATTTAACTTTTGTTTTTCTCTACTGATACAATTTATATTTTCTATATAACTCCCATCGATCTGTTATAATTTAAACTCGCTATGATCTAACGGTTAAAATCATTTTTTATAATTACTATAAGATTTTCTAATCCTTGATTGATCGTGAAGGTAATAGTTGACTTTTGAGCTATCTCTATAATATAATATGCTAGAAATATGTAGTCCTAAGAAATTGATTTGTCAGATAACTCGTACTTTTGGACTGTTAACTTTGCAATAACCTGCCATCTCGTATGTGCGCATCGCTGCCGAAGTGCATGCACCAATGTGTGCAGTTGTATAAGGCTATTTTTTTCTAAATTATTGTCCTGTATGAAACGCTAGATGGCGCTCTCTTTTTCCTTTTTTTATTCCGATACATCAAGCTGCCCGAGACCTTTACACAACACTCCTAATCCCTTTCAAATAGAAATTTGATCCCGTTGCATATCTGAAACAAATATTTATGTTTGGACCAGATGTATTATCTTCACAACTCTAATATCTATTTATATATGATCGATCTCCGCCGTTATAATATAGTCTTACTGTGATCTAACGATGTAGATATTTTTCGTTTCCTCCGATTAATGTGGGAATTTCTAGCCTCCACAGCGAACGTGGTGCCTTCTTTCAAAGTTGTTTTAATAATATAATAGATAAATAGATAGATTTGGTACTAAATCTGTAGTTTTGTGATACACTGTAAATCTGTACTTTTTTGTGATAATTTGGTCGAAGTATTCCGAAATTGCAATCCATGAACCACACACTCCTAATTCCATGTACTTTTTTGTGATAATTTGGTCGAGGGTTAGGGCGGGAAAATCATCATCAGTGCCAGTTTAACATTTTGTCAAACCGGCATTTATGATGGGGGCGCTGATGTGCTCGTGTAGTAGTGAATGACCTCATGCCCTAATAAAATAAAGTACTTGGTATATGGGATTTCCTTGTACGTAACACCCTCTGTTAGCCTCTACATTTTTATGCTTACTTTTTGAACTATTTCTACCTATATTTCCTGCTGCTTGCTTGCAAAATGAGCTAGTTACCTTGTTTATGTACGAATTGAAGCTGCTGGGAAAGTAGCGTGGAGGAGGGGAACTATCATCAGGAGATAACTTGGAGATTGAAATAGCCTCCCTGTGCTGCACGTTGATGCTGACCATGTACCGCTCTGTCTCCCCAGTATTATTCCCAGTATTAGGGCCGGACAAGTACAAGAAGACAACATCAGCATGAAGAATGCTATGGACAGGCCAGGTCGGCATTAGTGCTGGCAGCTTCTGGTGGGTTGTGTCAGATCAGAGGTCTCCAATGCATAGTGCCGCTTCTTGCTTCCACTCCTTGGGGTTAAGAGTAAGAGACCATGTCCTGAGGAACATATTCCTCATATCGTTGATAGAGAGGTCTTGATGATAGCCGTCGATGGAGATGAATCTGATGATACCGTCATTGCCGCAACACATAGACCGGTATTCCTGTGGTACCTGGCGTCCATCTTGAGGGTCGGGCGGCTCCATATAGCACCCCTCCGGCAACGGGATGAACTGGAAAACAGGTTCTGGGGCAAGGGTATCGCAGGTCATCAAGATGCCAACGAGGAGGTCTACCCAACAGAGCGCAAACTTCCCAAGAGAGAAAGTGGTATCGGCATGAAAGATGTAGGTGGGCGTGCACACTTCAGGAGGGAGGATGACTGTCTTGTGGATCCATTGGCGAGCGGACGGACCAGACGAACACCACGTCCAGAGACTTGCCTTGGGGAGTTCGCCAGTGAGGAGGAGCTCGGCGAGGATATAGTCGCTGGCCGGAGCATGGCGCAGCACGGCAACCTCAGAGCCAATACTGCCGCCGCCTAAATATGGCAACTGGTGGATGGCGGACAGTGAGTTGGCCCATGCGTCGTAAACCAGATAAAATCCCGGTGCAGGGAAACCGGGCCGGTAGGGGCCGACATAGAAGACGAGGATGTTGTGGTCCGCACCGGCGACGGAGGTGCCCTGCAAATCAGGAGGATGTCGTGCAGACGACAGCCGGAGGCGAAAGAAGGACAAACCTGGTATATCATGGACTTGAGGATCTAGTTCGATGCCATCCAAAACCTTACGGAGGTCGGTGTCAGTACAAAACTTGGTCACCGTGCTGGGGGGCATGGAGGCCTTGCGCTTGCGCAAAATGGCCTCCGCCGCATCTTGGTTGGCTCGAAACCTCTTGATCTCTGCTCGTATGGCCTTTTGCCTTGCCTTCTCTTTCTCCTGCCAATCCGTGATACCGTCGCATGCGTCTGAAATTGCCTTCTCGTCGAGCTCAAGAGACCAGCCTTTTTCCTTCATTACATCTGTTACCTCGTTGACCAAGAGCACGGAGCGATTAAGCAGCACCATGGCTGGATCTGAATCCATGAGACTTCCTTGTGCGAGGATTTTCTTCGGCTAATCGAGGGGGAGGGGAGAACAGGGATCTGAGATTTTCTTCGTTGAGGCGTGGACTTGTGGTCGGGGTGTGCGGGGAATCAATTGTTTTTCTACGATGAAGCCATCCCTATCCATCCTATGGTGGAACCGTGGAACGGGACAGAGATGACCGACGAGCATGCCGTATCCCAAAAGAACACCATCAAGTTGGTATTTTAAAAATCTATATCTATATCTATATCTACTTAAAAAATACGCAAGGCTTCTGGTAGCTTTTTTTTTCGTCTGTCGTTTTTTTTTACCGCACGCGGTTTTTTTCCTCAACGCGCGGTTTTTCTGACCGGTTTTTTTCGTCCGATTCTTTTTTTACACGGTTTTTGTCCGGTTTTTCCATCCAACTGGTTTTTTCGCGTGCGTTTTTGGCACGGTTTTGGGTCACAATTTTTTTTGGTGGGCCCGGTTTTTTCCCACCGCTGTTTTTTTTTGAATGATTGAATCCCAAATAGATTCTTATACAGTTACATAGCTAAACAATTACAACACAAGAATTACATTCATACAGAATCTAACAATAAGAATTACATGGCCAAGTAGGATACAAACATCTTCTCAACCTATATAAAGAAACTGAAAACACAAAGAAGAGCTCATTTATACACCCAATATTTGGTGTGGATATTGAGCAATCTTCTCAATGCTACTCATATGCGCCCAAACTTCTTTTTTTAAAAAACAAGCAATTTTCTGTTGGACGTGATACATCTGCGTTTGTTGCATTTATGACGACGGAAGGTGATTCTTTAACCCTTAACAATTAGATTTGTTTTTTTGCGTAACTTTAGGAGCAATTATAATCAGGATATGCAATAAATAGTATAAACTCTGTGGTATTAAATGCATGTACCAGGAGAAAAGAAATACAACTTATTTATTTTGCATAATTATTAAATAATTATATTAACAAGATGATATTGGCAGTAATTCCCTGAATATTTTTTTTAAAAAAATCATAACATAATAATATGATAGAGACAGGAATGTATCCAATCTAACCGTCTTAATCAACCACTGATTTAAAAACTGAAAGCATGCATAAACTACACACAATATCCCTGATAGATACATAAATATATTCAATCTAATGGTCTTAATCAACCACTGGCAATACTTAATACCCTTAATGGTCTTAATCAACCACTGGAAATACTTAATACCCTTAATGCCTTGAGTTACAGTAGCTTGTTCTGCATATACTACTGTAGGTGGTTATTCATCACATTCATATGCCAACATGGTTTGAAAAATCAAATCATTAATATTGACTAAATATTCTACTTTAAAGGAAACCAGTTTCAGAGTTTATTATTTCTATTTCCCCTATCTTTCTCTGAACTCAGTGCGCAAAAGTACTGCTTAATGCAGCAATAGAAAAAATAAACACCTATGGTCCATGCAGAACCAGCGGACAACAGTATAGAGCTCTTAAAAATTCCAAAGCATTAAAGGGGGCATAGCAAATACGGTAGGTTCCAATTTAGCCATGCAACCAAACTTATTTTGAACAAAAAAAATTACCCTGAATATTTTTTGGCAACCATCTCGATTCCATAAGTCCAACCCATCAAAGTCAACAAATCTCATCTCTTGTCTCCTTAAAAACCTGGCAACACACACATCAGATCTGGATGATAAAGGGATATCTTTAAGAGTATAAAGAATTGTGAATACCATATTGCAGTGGAACGGTTCCAGACATGATAAGTGAATATATGTACTGGATAGAGATAGATGCTTAATAGTACTTGACTGGATAACTAGATCATTCACTTGAATGGCTCCACCACGATTTGTACCACGTTGGAAAACAGAGCACGAAAAGAAATCAGTCATATAGGCAATGCATGCATGACAAACTACAACCCATTACTTAAATACTGATCTTAAGCATAACAGTCTATGAGATAATCAATAAAGACTATATCAGGACAAAGATGGTCATATTATGTGTTAAATAAACATTTATCTTTAGTGTTATGTATAAACAGAACCATACGCAAGTTGTGAAAGTAAGTGGTTTATATTTCCTGCTTCTTTTAGGCGATCACCAAATGCATGGGTTAACAGCACAAACATATGAGAAACATATCAGCGAATCTTCAGACGACAATATTGAGGTGCATGTACCTTCACCAACAGTTGCGTTACATCCTTTGTAGTGAAAACTAACTCCTTTGTCAATGATTCAACATAGACACAAGCAGTTCTAACATCCTCTCTAATCTGCAATCGAACAGGTCATATTGGTATATCACCTGAAAAGCTATGGTACTAAATTTTGCAATTTAATTTCACCTAAAGACTTTTAGGTGATGGGTCTAGCATTTGTACTTGTGTCACAAATTTTATAACATTGAATGAATAACAGGAAATCTAACCATTACCAGAAGGATATTAATAGTGTCAGCAAATAAAGTGGGGTAAACATGGCAAAAATCATCTCTATGAGGGATCAAAAATAAAAAATATTATTCAATTTTTGTTTTGCTTCTCACCGTTGTTTTCAAGAAGATACATCCTGCTTTTGTTGTTTGATAATGATTATGTACAGCTTCATCTTCCAAGCTAGATGTTGATGCTACGCCATCTGGATCATCATCCCTGTTCTTGGATCCCAGTGCACGAAGACGACAAAGAGATACCTGACAAAAAGAAACAAGAAATACTTAAAAAGCGTCGTGAAGCCTATAAACGAAAAAAGGATTCAAAATGTTTATGTACGGTACCAGATGTGATGAAAAAGAAGCCGGCATTAGTTCCTGCATGCAATGGAAAAGCCCACTGATTTATCTGATGTGATGAAAATATACTATGGTTTTAACAAAGAAATTATATCTATAACTTTGTAACTCATTACAAAGAATAGCTCATTATATAACAATGCTGACCAAATTAGATCATACTGTACTTGCATCAAATACCCAGATTGTTTTCTAAAAAAGAAGGAAACTTTGAGTTAGGATACCACGGCAGCCCTGGACTCCAGCTCGTGTAGCAGAGCCGCGTCGGCGCCCACCATGCTCCCTGCCCGGAGCAGCTTGAGCAGAAAGTCGCATGTGATGCCGTCGTCAACAACTGTGATGCCGTCGTCAACAACTTCGCCGCCACCGCCATAGATGGGGGAAGCTAGGTCAGCCCACGTGCAACCATTGCCATCGTCGCCATAGGGGAGGCTGCCAGGTCCATCCATCTTGTCGTTGCCAGCGGCGGATCCGCGCGAGCGGGGGGCAGAGAGACGAGGGATCTGTGCGGGAGGGGAAAAGGTCGCCCGCCGCTGGATCCTCCACTCCTGTCGCCGCCGACGGTGGATCCACGCGAGAGGGGGGCGGACAACGGGATCAGGCGCCGGCGGCAGATCTGTGCGAGAGGGGAGCGGAGAGACGACGGGATCCGTGCGGGAGGGGAAGAGGTCACCGGATCCGCCCCTCCTGTCGCCGCCGACGGCGAATCCGCGCAATAGGGGCACCGGCACCGGATCCGTGCGAGCAACAATGCTGGCTTGGAGAGTGACTCGAGAGAGACCGATAGAGAAAACAAGAGTGTGAGACGATAAGGATCTCGGCGAATAAACAGTGGTGGATCTTGCCAGTGACATGCCTGCTGTCACACCACTTCCCCCTTGGCTACAAAGAGGTGTCGCGCTCTCGCAGTGGCGGCAGACGATTTACGACGCAAATCGACAAAGATAGACTGAAACTAGGGTAAAGTAAAAAACATGGCTAAAAGTAAAGATAAAAGAAAAAGTGATTCAAGTATATTGTGTGTTCGGGGGTTACAAGTGAACCGGCCTTGTCCCTTAAATAGAGGTTGGTCTTGCCCTCTACAGGCCCTCCTCCACGTCCAACTCAGGCTAGAAACCAATGGAAACCCGAAACATGCCTTCCCGAGCAAGAAAACCCGAGACCCGACGAAAACGAAGTCTGATTCAGACTCTGCCGGTCCGGCCACATGCCGCCGGTCTGAACGGCCCTCTGGTGGCGGTCTGACCGGGCCCTCTCTAGAGGAAACCGGCAGAGCCCCAAACTTTGACAATTTTTCCTATTTCGATCCTAGGTGCCAAATTTGGGTGTAAACACATGCCCCCTGCCTTTTTATGAACATCGTGAATCTAAAAGCATAGAACATGTTGTCTTAGGGCGATAATCCAATTACCGGCCACAGTACTTCCTAAGCATCTTGCCAAACGCTAGGGAAGTATTTCTTCAAGTATTTCTCATTGATTGCTCTCTAAAAATGTTGTTCTTGAAGTGTCTCCATCTTTTCCAAAATATTACCCAATCTTTCAAACACTTATCGATGACGTTTTCAAAATTGCCTCCCACCAAGGTCTTGTAATCTTCAACCGACAAGTCGTCTTGCTTGATATACCGAAGAGAGCCAAGATTTACCTCAACTGCATAAACCAACTCAAAAGGAGTGACTTTAGCAGCACCATGTTTAGATATTCTATGAGCCCATAATGCTTCTGAAAGCACCTCATGCCATTTCTTTTGGTGTTCTTCAATATCCTTTTTGACTAATTTCAATAATGTTTTATTACTCAACTCGGCTTGTCCATTAGCCTGAGCGTAATAAGGAGAAGAACTCAACAACTTAATATCATAAGATTCGACAAAACTTCTCACCTCCTTGGACATAAAAGAAGCTTCTTGATCTGTAGTCAAAGTTTAAGGAATACCGAATCTATGAACAATATGCTTCAAAATAAAAGTCAATTACCTCCATGTAAGTAATATTCTTGAAGGCACGGCTTCGGCCCACTTAGTGAAGTAATCCATTGCAACTAGCACGAACCTATGCCCTTTTAATGATGAAGGATAAATTTGACCAATGAAATTCAAAACCCAACTTCGTAACGGCCATGGTTTGATGATAGGATTCAATACAGCGGTGGATGCCAATTGAACATTATTGAACCGTTGACAAGCTTCACATCCTCTATAGTACTTGAAACAATCATCAATCACTTTCGGCCAATAGAACCCCGCTCTCCTAAGAAATTAATCCATCTTACGGGCCGATTGATGAATTCCACAAATCCCTTCAT